TGTATTGAAAGCTAAAAAAAAAAAAAAAAAAAAAATATATAAAACAATTTTTTTTGTTCATCCAAAATATTTTACTAACTTACACCTAAATAATGCACAAATACTTAATAAAATATAAGGTTATAGAAGGACAGTATATCATGATTTTTTATTATTTTGTTTACATTCTTTAAGTAAAAATTTATGTCTGGATGACCATCAAGTATATATTAGATATAAAATCAATAATATTAATTAGCTATAATTCTATAATACTCTAAAGTTTATAATAAATATATGAATATTATTATAGAATATACATGATTTTATTTTAAGAAAGATTTTTAATATTAATATTCGCCGGTATATTTATTGTTTCGTTGACAATTTAATAAGTTGCTTGTATTTGAGATAAAAACAAGAATGCTTTTATATGCTAGGTAAGGGTATGGATACGTGATCAGAATGAATTTACAAATGTTAGAAGTCTATTTGATGGTAAATTTTATAATCAATGAGAGCTTTTGTAAATAATCGAAATATTTTAAATCAAAAATAACCTATAAATTAACTGATTAACTAATACTAATAGAAGAAAAATATTTTGGAGCTGTCATCTAATTAAGTTTTGAATCTAATTAAAACTTATTTGTTTATAATATGTTTATAATTGAGTAGAAAACCATATTTTGTTAGTTTTGTATTAACATTACTTTTCTGCATAGTTCAATGTAAAAATGGATTTTTATTTAGATTATTTACGAAGATATTTAACTAAGAATAAGAATTTTATTTTTTCATTTTATAAAAATATTTGAGTAAATTGCTTCTTTTATAAAATTTCTAAAAGTAGACGTACCAGGTTTTTGCACTGGACCCTTTTTCATATACTATTTTAAGATGTAATTTCTACAAGTAGAACTATTATTTGAAGTTAATCTGCCAGAGTTTGATTTTGAATAAATGCAGGATGGTAATTTGGTGTTAATAATAACATAAGGTCATCATTCATCAAAATTAGTACAATTATAATTTATTGAGTGTCTCTTCTGTATTATAAAACATTTTAAATTGGGTATAAAAAAAAAATAGCAAAAATAAGCTGAAAATTTGGAGTATAAACTGAAGTAGTCAGTTTTTGTGTTTTACTTTTCGTTATATCAGTGGTTTTATTAGGGAAAAGTTAGAAGTGATTGATCAAAAACTAAAACTCTGAAAGAAATGTTGTATGTTATAAAATATTTAGTCAAATATAATTTAAATGCCTCTTGATTAAAAATATAATTAAATAAAAATAAATTGTAATGTGGTACTGAGAGCTAAAGTATATACATTTTATATTTACACTAATAGTAAATGTTTATTTACTGCCTTATTATATTTAATCTTTAATTAAAAATTAGTATAAATTTGATCAGTGTATGACATAAATTTTTAATTGATAATTTTATATTATAATTTATATGGTATTAATAACTTAGTAAATAATGTAGTTGTCAAAATGGATAACATGTGTTGTTTAATAATAAAATATATTTTTAATAGGTTCACTAATGTAAAAATGTCTTAAAGTATTTGAAAAACATCAATTTAATACATTTTTTTAAACCCGAAAAGGTTTAAAGTAAGACCTTAGTAAAATTTTGACAAAATATTTTTGAANATACATTTTTTTAAACCCGAAAAGGTTTAAAGTAAGACCTTAGTAAAATTTTGACAAAATATTTTTGAAATTTTTCATTAATAAGTTTTGGTTTTCACCATGTTTTTTTAATCTAAAATAAACTAAAATTGAACTTCACGATAAACTTAGGATTTTTAGGGATATGTCTGTAATAAAACAATTATTTATGGTTGTTGGAATTAAAGTAATAGGTATGTACAAAATTATTTAATAAGCTCAAAGCAAGTTAATCATAATTAATTTAATACCATTTAATCGTACAGTACCACTACCCTAATTTTGAATTATTACTGTTCAAGTTTAATTATGATATTCACTATTTTCATGTTTTTGAACAATTAAAAAATAATTTATTTATGCTTGTATTATTTATAATTAAGTTGACTGTTAAATACATTTCTAAAGATCTAATTTGAATTTTATTATATGACTATACGTTTTAAAATTATTTAATGATTATAGCCTGTTTTATTGACACTTTATAAGAGTTTTACGTAATTTTGAAAAAATGTTTATGTTTTTAATAATAACATTTTTTTTTTATAAAATATATATTTTTTTAATTTCCTATATAATTATATCGGTTAATTTTTTTTAATATATTGAAAGTTAATTGCAATGACAAAAATAATTTACATTTATTAATAAAAAAATTAATACAGGTTTTATTTTCTAAAAAGATAGTTTTAATTTATTATTTGTAGGGTAAATGTAATGCGTGACATAAAACAAATATATAACTCAAACGGCATAAGTTGAATTTAAGATTCAACTAACGATTGCTATGGATTACATTGCATGATTCTGGAAGAGACTTTCATCTTGTTAGATGGTGTCATTTAAGTTTTAAGCGGTTAGTAACTAATGTTGGCAATATCTTTAACACACATTACACTGTTTAATTTGAACACTCCCAAAATCTTACCATAAAAATTTTAAAGCTTATTTCATTTAAAATAGCGTGATTAAACTGAAAACCCACATATGTTTTATTATAATTGTTTCATATATATATATATATATAATCAATTAATTATATCTATATGTAATTATACTTTTATCATAAAAGTAATAAAGTATACCCGTAAAATAAAAATATTTTTTTACTATTTATTGAAGAACATTATTTCCGCAAATTAAAAGAAAGTTTATAGACTAATATTGAGAAAAATAAAATATCTTTTTTCTTTGTGATTTACAGGTGTTAGAATTTGTTAGAGTTATTTGAACGTTAATTAATTATATTATACATATATTGGGTTTCGAAATTAGTAGGGGATTTTTAGTAATAAAATTTAATTTAATATAATTTTAGTTAATATAGTATATTAATAATTAAATGTTAGCAAAAAACAATTTTAGTAATAAATCTTAAATTTTAAAATTAATATTTCTAGAGGATTTCATTTATCATTGTTGATAAAAAACTTTTGAATATTTGATCCTGAAAAGTTTAAATAGTGTTTGAATTTTGTTATACCGATCTTAAGTTAAAATTATTAAAATAATATAATAATAATAAGTAAATTTATGGGAATTATAACAATAGAGTAGCAAAAATAAAATAATATTATCAAATATATTTACAAGTATATATAACAGACAAAATAAAAGCTAGCAAGTTGTAAAAAAAAGATAATATGTTCTAATAAAATAGAAAAAAATGGTGAGAAAACAAGATTTTGCTCTTAGAGTATTTCAGACGATCACTTATCATATGTTGCTTTATTCTTTTTTATTGTTTTCTAGAATAGTGCTCAGTGTAATTTCAATTTATCCAAAAACATTACATTATATATTATTTAGTTTGAATTTCTTTATTATACATAATTAAAGTAGTAAGGTGTTATTAGCGACCGTATTATAAGTTACTTAAAATGTATAAAAGAATCATTATTTATTACCGGAACTTTAAATAGGAAAAACTAATGACATTAATGAATACTTTAATTTTATGTAAACTAAAAATCCATGAATTTTGATTTTATTATTGAATAATATTATATATATATATTTATATATTATAAGATATTTTACCATCTAATCACCTATATTTAGTTTTTATAAGTTGAATTTTTAAATTATTAGGTATAGATTTATTCGATTCTTGTTCACAAAAAAGATTTTTATGTTATACTTAAGTGAAGGCAATAATGACAAAAAGTCGTCTTCCGCTTACAACTAAGAATAAAGCAATTGCTTTTCGTCACTCAATTTAAAAAGTATTTTTTATATACGACTTTTTTTAAGTATCTAGTAAATGGGTTTTTAGTAAAATCGATTTAGTTGATAACAAAAAAATGTTTAAGGTGACTTTATAAATGCTCTTATGTAATATTTTACAACTTCTTATTTAGATTATTAGGTAGATCCTTGAAATTGAGAGAAAGATTTATTTTTTAGTCTTAGAATACTATTTAGACTTTTTAGAATACTAATTGAAATAAAAATAAAAATTTTTTTTGAAAAATTGTGGAGATTATTAAAAAT